AAAGAATGAATAAACACTCCGCAAGTATTAATCTAACTGTGAAGCACAATTAGATAAGACGTACCAAGTCGAGCTGAAGTAGCAGGAGGTTGCTCTTCTACCGTAACATTCGACCCTCCTACTTCATGATCCACTGGAGTCGGAGTGAAAGGCACAACAAGTCCGGCTTCGATAATAGCGGAAGTCGAAGGAGCAGTAGCTGGTGGTTCAACTTCAGCTGGGGGACTTGCCAAAAGTAAGAAACCCAAACCTTCAGGTTGATCACATTCACCAATGACGGTAGACGCATCAACTTCGTTGGTTGGTCCTACGTCTAAAATTCTTATTTCAGTCCCCCAAGAACAATAAAAGATGAAAGTACAGCTGAAAACTGGAGTCTAAAAGGGTATACCTTTTGATGCACCTACTTCAGCTGAATCAACTCGCGTAGTTGGTCCTGCAGTAGCGGATGGAACCGGAGTGGATAATATATCGGAGATCCCCTGGTGTACATCTTCAGAAATGTCAAGATCGAAGTCTCGCTCATCGAAATCTCCGATACCCATATCATGGGTAAGTTCTATGTCTCTCGGTTCGTTGACAGGGATGTCTATTAAGCAGAAGAATCCATCAATGCACATGCAAGAGATATGAAAGAATCAAAGCAAACAAAATAAGGTTACCTTCAATAACAATTGCGGGGTCAGCAGCGCTACTATCCGCACTCACCTCCTTTAGTTTAACTAAAAGAAGATAAAGCGCACAAGTTAGTAGGAGAGGAACACGTTCCGATTCACTTATCTTCCGGAAATGCCCCCCAAATGAGAAAACATCTGTACCTGTGTCAGCAGTTGGCGAGGTCGATGTGGTAGCCGGAGGAGGGACAATGTCCATACTAAGGGGCTCTTCATCAATGGCCTTGTGTACTTGTTCAGTGAAGCTGGATTCATCAACATCCATTAACCCCGGAGAAGAAGGTTCAGGCACGATTTATGAGCCGTCTTCTTAATCCTCTTCGAGGCACGAGAATCTCGAGGAACCTCAGAGCTCTCATGTCTAAACTTGGTACGCAATTCGGTTCCTTGAGCCGGCTGAGGTTGAGCTTCAGAAGGA